AGCAATGTTAAGAAAATAACGACGATAATTATTTTAATGGGTTGTAACTATGAAAGTAATGTGAATTACTCAAAAATCATAATTGAGCCTCTGTATAGAGATCTGAGCTATATACAGGCAAAGTATTATTATAATGGAAACAGTTTTCACAAAAGGAGAACATTTTGAATAAAAGATTATTCTAAGTTAATTTTTTGCCAAAATATTGTATTTAAATATGTTTTTTTGTCAAAATGTCCTTAAAACAATTTTATGCATGTATTCTAATCTTAGTGACACTAACTATCATGAAAATTATCCATTTATGCGCTTTTTTAAAATCACGGTTTCGAACGTTGTCGGATACCTTAAGTGAAGACAGTTTTAAAATTGATCTTATAATATTTTACACAGCTATCTAAAATAAAATGGTTAGATAATAGATTGCGTAGAACTAAATCAATCAATAAAAATAGTAGCAACTTCCCATACTTATCACGACTTTTTTGCATTTCTTTCTCCTTCGTTCAATAAATATTTACTTCACTATATTTAGGGAAAAAATACAAAATTCCCCCTTAATTCCTTCTTTATTTACCTACCAAAAGTGCAATATTCCGAAATTTGGGGAGATCCCATTTTTAACACCATGTCACTAAATCTGCTTATTAAAGAAAAATTTTAATTAAAATGACCATCTGACATAAGCCCACTTTCTTCTAACGCTTTCCTGCTCTTTTTTTTTGTTTAATATGCCTTCTTAAGAAAGGCAATAAAAGGCGGAAATGCAAATATCTATGTGTCTAGCACTTCATCCAAAGGACATAACATGGGGCTGAGGATGCGATGCTTAATCACAGACGATGCACAAATACCGGGAAACGGGTTCAAATAAAAAAAGATGTTTGCTTTAGACCGAGGTATTTGCTTTCGTTCTTTAATTACCATCCTTGCGGTACCCACGAGACAAAGTGATGGGGCTAAGAAAAATAGCGAGATAAAGATCCTAAATAAGTATCGGAAGTAATTTGCTTTCTTGGAAAGATATTATTTTCTTTTGTTTTTGATGGCAGCACTTTTTTTTTAAAAGTTATGTCTTTTTAAGCATCAAAATGGATGCGGTTCTTTTTTTCTTTTGTAAAGTGCATAAAATGTTCTGCTTTTGCATCCTTATTGTGTCTTTATGTGACGCAATTCATGTAACATTGCATTCAAGGATTTGTTTTTAAAGGATAATTTATTTCTTTTATGTTAATAGTTATTTTAAAAACATTTGAGGGTTCACTTATTTATTTATAAAAGTAAGCGTTGGCAGAAATCTTTCTAGCAATATAGATTTGATTTGATTTCGATTCACTTTCGCACAAGGCCTTGAACTTTCAGACTTTATGTGTTGCTACAATATACAGTTGTAAGAGGCTCGAGCCTCACCCTCGGGCACCTAGAAGTGTGTGGGGGGAGGGAAGAAACACTCGACATGATCCAATTAATCTATTTATTTCCACACAAAGAACAGACACAATTTTAACTAATAATTGTAAGAGAATGTCTCATCGTTAACCTTAAAAGTGGAACAACGACGATAAAACGCTAACAATTAGGAGACTATCAAACTTGATCCTTATCGTAATAAAAGATCAAACCTACCATCCTATTTAATCTAATATCAAATCAATCCAATCGTCACTTTATAGTCACTCCGATTTCGCGTAAGTCGAGGTATTACTGTATAATATATTTATCAACAAAGAGTGCAACTCAATTTCTTTTACGATTGCGTTTATGCGTTTTTTAGGAGAACCAACAATCCGTATAAACAGATAATAATTATATTTCAAAGTTGCATTTCTTTCCATGTTGTTATTTTGATACGATTACTGTGTATAACCCTTTTACAGTTAGATATTCATCGTTGAAACATGTCATGTCCATCTAGGTTACCCTATTTATTCTAATGAACAATTGTACGTTTTCATGATTATTACAGCAAAGCGGAAACTGCAGTAATTTTAAGGATTATTAGTTTGAAGAAACGGCAAAAGAATTTTTTATTTTTTTTATTTTTCAATAGTGTTTTTAATCAAAAAGAAAATGGAATGTTTTTTGACAAACTTGCTCTGAATTAGTGAAACAAAAATAAGAACCAAATTAAAAGTATACTTCTGATATTAATAATATTTGGAATAACACACACTGAAGACAATTTGATTCAAAATGTTTAAAACAAATAGAATGTAAGTAAAATTTTATGTATATATCTATACCTATCTATCTATTTTTATCTATCTATCTATCTCTATATATAGTAATATAAAATAAAAGTGAAAAAGTACTAGAACCTATAGTGCTAAAGAAGAAAGAAATTTTAATTCACCAGACACAACAAATGTAGATACAAAAAAGTCTTTAGACCAAACTGGAGACCTATTATGATTTCTAAAGCTGTCGCTAAATTAGGCCAGCGAATTATGGTTAGCAAAGCTTTATGGATCCAACCTTCCCCGTACAGCAGAAATTTTCGACATAATAGAAATATATATATAACTTTCTAAAATATTTACTCTTCATGCAAACTAACATTCTCAATGAAAATGATTTTCGAAATTGATTGAATAAAAGAAAAATCCTTAATTTAAGATCATTCTAATTTTTTAAAAAAATGGACTATTACGTCCCACTAATAAATGAAAAATATATATTTCTTTTGTCTGATAAAAAAAATTACATAAGCTTTAAAACTCCATAAATTATTTCAAAAAGTTTCGACTCCTCAACTCTTTTTTTGGATTATATTACGAAAATAATAATTAATAACAATATATATATATATATATATATATATATATTTGGCGGGAGGAAACAAATTGGGACGCCAACGAATAGTTTCTGAGAATCAGAAATCGAATATGCTTAGAAACTCCATATAAAAATTAGAAAATTTGAAGCCAAGTTCTGAACCAGATGAATATGGCTCACGAAAAAGTTTCGTATTCCAAAAATGCCAAATGGCAAGTTAGATTTCACCGTGAGTGATAAGTGAACCAAATTTTGTGACTTACTAAAGATGATGAGATTTGCTTGAACAAATGGATTAGTTTGTGTGATAAATTCATATGTTTAGCATAAATAGCTTTATTATACTTTAAATGTTTGCAGTTATTGAGTTTTAATTCCTTATCGTCTTTATTGCATAAGTAGTCGCTGTAACAGAGTGTGCTTGGACGGAAACTCGAGGCTGGCGATGTTTTTATTGAGCCAAAGGTTCGAATCTTGAAGCCACTGAAGTTCCATCATATAGACCGGCTGATAAACATTAAATGTGTCAAGATTCAAATTCCTCATGTGACATTTGTTGTATATTGGAGAGTCCTCATTTAACCGTGGCACATTATTATGTGTCACCAATTACTTTCTGGCGGATCTATTTACGTACCTTCCCCTAACCCTCTTGGGAAATCTTTGAGCTATCAATTCACGTTATTTACAATCAACCCTTCTGAAGAAGAAATCGTGTTATGTAAAGTTTACTATTATTTACAATCAAACTTTCTGAAGAAGAAATCGTGATATGTAAAGTTTACTATGTATAGTCGAGGTTTTCTAGCTAGAAGATTGTAGGAGTGGCTGTAAACTAGAAGTGTCAGGAGAAATTGTTACTGCCAGGTATCATTATTGAATTATTGTGATTAAATACTTATTAAAGGAAAGATTTAAAGTGACGATTAATCACTGAGATTAGATTAACATTAGATTAAATCGGATAATAGATTAGATCCTATATAAAGTAAGGATCGAATTTGATAGTCTCCTAATCATTCGTGTATTTCGTCGTCGTTCCACTTTCGTGGTTAGCACCGGGACATTCTTTTTCTGTTATTAATTGAAATTGTGTAGTTATTTTGTGCGATCAATAAGTAGATTGATTGGATTATGGCTATAGTGTTTCTTCCCTATCTCCTACATATCTAAGCGCCCAAGAGAGAAGTGAGGACCTCTCACAACTTTCATGTAGTTATATAGAGCGATGTTGATAATCAAAATACAGAAGTTATATATGAATAAATACATAAAGTAGTAGCTTATTTATACACATATTTGACATCTATCGATCTCATTATGGAATGGAAAAGATGCCGAGTCATGAGACGTTCCAAAACAAGGCGTGTTCCATCACTGCAGAAATGTGGAGGTAGTGATGTCTGATTGGGTGAACGTGTTACCTCTCAGCTCTTGACATCACAGTAAATTCAGCTTATCCCATTTATATCACTTGTCAATTTCTGTTCGATTAGCTGAGTAGAAATCCCTATTGTGATTCCCGGCGAAACTCCGGAGTAGTTAGTATTCCGCTTACTTGCTGATTGTATAGGAGGTAAGTCTAATCGAATAGCCTTGCTGAGTGTATGCTCTGAACAATATAGTGGGAATTAAATGCTGATGAAAAAGACTTTTCGGGACGTAATAATGAGGGTTCGAACATATATATTCTGGGCATACTTAATCAAATGATGTAGTAAAGTTAACATAAAAGTTATACGGAATTTTTTTTTTACTATAGTAAGACTCGATTAGATCTTCATGTGATAAGTTTAATAATTTCACGTATTTGTCGCCAATCTTATCTTATTTTTTACATTAATTGCAAAAAGTAATTCATTGTAATCTGAAGTATTTCACGTTACATTCCTGCTTACATAATTCACAAAAACATTTCATAATAAACGTGAACAAATTGAACTTTATAAAACGATTTAGTTTCTATTTTTTTTTCAATTCCTACTATTAGTTCACAATCTCCCTATATATATTTATACATCTTGTTCAAATTTAAATCGTTAATAAAACACTCTATATTCATCCACTCAAGTTCAAATATATTGCTCTAAACTTATAGTGGAAGACACTTGATGTTAATACAGTTTTTCCAATATTAATGCATTAATGTTTTAATTAATGAATAAATAGTAACAAACAATATTTATAGTCCAACACCATATATAAAAAGGAAAATCGTTTGTTGTGTCCCTGTAGCACAATGGATTGCGCGTTGGAATTCTATTCCAAAGGTTGTGGGTTCCAATCCCGCCTGGGATAGCCTAATTTCTGAGGACGTGATTTATTTTTACCATACTATTTTATTGGAATAATTAAACTTATTTAATTAATAAATAGTAACAAACAAACAAAAAATAGCCCAACAGCATGTATAGAAAGGAAAATGAAAAATTTCAAGGAAAATTGCTTTCTATTTTGTCATTTAATATTGGGATTCTGTCATATGTATATACATGTTTATATTAGCTGTAACTATTAAATAACTAAATTAAAAATTTTCTTTGCTGACCTAAGTAAGATTTCACTTATTTTTTTTATATTACTTGTTTTTTACATTAATTGCAAAAAATAATTCATTGCACACGGAAGTACTTCATGTTACTTTCAATTTTGTTAGAATTAAGAAAAACATTACATAATAACTGTTAACAAATTGAACTTTATAAAACAACTTCTATTTTTTATTACACGCACACACAGCTGTAGTATTTCATATATCTTTACATATAATACTGCAAAAATATCATAGTAAACTATATAGACATTTCAATAAACTTTATAACCAAAGGTTTCCTCGGCTGCGGGAGTTTTAAAATTGAAATATTCATATCCCTATATATATTACTTGTTCTATTTTTTATTCGTCGAGAGTCCAAATTTGACATGATAAAACTATGAAATATATTTGCAGACGTATATATGTAATCTCAATAGAACCTTCTGAATTGAAATATCTCGTATAAGAATATAAATAATATTGAATGTAAAACCTATATTTTATAATATGATATATTCTGAGTCTTTTATTTGGTATTTAAAATATCAGTGTGTTTATAAAGGGCTTAAATTGTACATAGTCTAAGTGGTAATTTTTTTTTATATTTTTTCATTATCTTTGGCATTCAAATATATACTAAAGCTAATTATATACTATTCAGGGTATATAAAATAAGTTGTCTATTTTACAGGTTATATTCTTTTAAAAAAATAGATTAAGTCAATAAATTGGCCTTTTTTTTTCGGTTATAAAATGAATTCCCTGTTTTGTCTTCTATACTATAATGCTGAATGGGGTCTTCACTTTGCATGTTAAAGGGGAAAATTGATTTTTTATGGAATGTTTTAAGTTCTTAAACACCATATATTATAAATACAATATATGGATTAAAACATTGTGAATTTATGTGAAAATTTTGAAAAATGTATTTAACTAAAAACGTATTTTGAATTGAGTTCGAGTGTATCTACGTTTATCACAGACAGCCTTAAATGATAATAGTCCAAAAATAGTTTCCAAAGTACTACTACTTACTTGTGTCTAATACTGTTTCGGTTAGACTAGAATTGTTCAATAAAAATATTCCAGTGTGTGTCATATCATTCACATGATTTTAATGAACATATATGCAACATGTAGCTTACATAAAAGAATGATGAACCAGCCACACAAAAAGATGAACTCAAAATGGTATAAAGCAGCGGTCCTTAAACTTTGGATCCTCTCGGACCCCCTTTAGGTATCGACCTGACATCGAGAACCCCTTCCCTCTGATTTTGAACTCCCGTCCCTGACTCTCAACACATGGCTGAGTGATTTAAAGATTCCACACTAATCCTAATACTGATTCTGTTACTTACACAAACTTTTTTACCACTTCTCTTTTTTTTTCCTTTAAGGTATCCGACTAAGTTCGAAACCGTGATTTTAAAAAAGCGCATAAATGGATAATTTTCATAATATTTAGTGTCACTTAGATTAGAATACATGCATAAAATTGTCTTAAGGACATTATGACAAAAATAATTATTTAAATACACTATTTTGGCAAAAAATGAACTTAGAATAACCTTTTTTCGAAACGTTCTTTTACAAAAATGCTTCTATAAAAATAATATTTTGTGTGTGTGTGCTTATATAAAGCAAAGACTTCTCCAGAGAATCTGAACTAGGAGTTATGAAAAATTCACATTATTTTCAGAGTTACCACCAAATGAAATAATTATCGGCGTTTTTTTCTTAAAATTTCTCGCTTCTTCTGCAGTAAAATATGGATAAACCCACTTCTAAGTTGTATATTTTTAAAATTCTAGTTTAGCCTCTGTACAGAGGTCTAAGCTATATACAGGCAAACTATTATTACAATAGAAGCATTTTTCATAAAAGGAGAATGTTTTGAAAATGGGTCATTCTATGTTCATTTTTTGTCAAAATATTGTACTTAAATAATTTTTTATTGTAATACTATTCTTAAAACAATTTTACATACGTTTTCTAATCTAAGTGACATGAAATATTATAAATATTATCCATTTATATGCTTTTTCAAAATCACGGTTCCAAAAGTAGTTGGATACCGTAAGAAAACAATACACATCTAATTAAAATGTTAGGTTGTAGTAATAGCTATGTGTAGGGATCGCAATACCGGGATACCGAGTACCGGTATTTTGAGCCATTTGCTCACTTTTGTAATACGGGTATTAACACGTTTTAATACCGTGTTTTGGGTATTTACTAGAACTTTTTAAAATTGTCTCTACTAACATAGCAAAATATTATAAGTTTTTGTTTTTATGTCTCCCTAACGGGTGAAATTAATTAGAATGAAAATAAAGTTGCATCGTACAGTCAAGAGAAGTGATAAAATATGCCAAAACTATCCTAAACAAGCGCAGGATTGGTTGTTCGATATTCGTATCTCTGAAAAAACAAGTTTGTAGTTGTGAAGAAAGGGCGTAATATTTCGACATTTTTTTTTAAATTGTTGAATTTGTTATTCATATTGCATTTGCATACCTAAATGCATATGGCATGTCTAAATAGAAAATGTCTTACTATATTTACATAATTATAATGATTTTAAAAATGAAAAAGAAAAAGAAGAAAAGAGACTAACCAATTCAAATATGTGTGTGTGTGATCAAGTTTATAGTAGATTTTCTTAAACTTTCTTTAAAAACAAACCTATCCACATTCAGAAGAATTCGGTACAGTTATCGGAAATGATGATGACACTAATGTCGATAATTAAAAGGAATTGTCTCTTGAACAAAAATTAGATTTATCAATAACTAAAAAATTTTCAGCAATACAAAATACAATACAGAAATCAGCTATATCCAAAACCACCCAACAAGAAATCTATTTATTTGAAGATGAGGTATTTAGAGGCAAATACATTGAAAAAGTATATCGCGCATTGTTAACAGTACCACCAACTAGCGTAAATGCCAAAAGAGCGTTTTCGACAGCTGGTAATTTTTTCACAAAACTACTTTCCAGGTTTAATGATAGTACAATTAATGCATTATGCGTTTTCAAGGAATCAAAAAAAAGTTTCACATTTCAAAAATTTGTAATAGTACCACAGATTGAATAGTGATATTAACACTTTTTCTGTGATTCAATATGTACTGTTATAATTTATAAGTTACAAATTATTTTAGTCATACTTACACTCTCTAATAAAACTGGCTAATCAAACAAAGAAACACGTGTGTTTCCTTTCTTTTCTTTTTTTAAATTTCTACTACCGGTATTAAAACCGGTGACCCGATATTAAAACCTAAAAAACATCTAACATCGGTATTGCACTTTTGGTCCGATATTGTAATCCTTAGCTATATATATGTGTAATTACAAACAGTAAAAAAAACTGAATTGATATTCTTAATTGAAATACAGGTTCCAGTAGAGTTTTTAATTAAAGGCAATTTAGCGATCAAATTTAGGATGGCATATCTTTCAATTTTTCCACGAGGCTTTTCAGAGTCTGTAAAAGGGGAATATCTTAGCGTTAAATTAAACAACTTTCGCCGACCCCCTAGAAAGAAACAGGGGTTCGTGACCACAGTTTAGGAACGCTGGTTTAAAGTATTGCAGCAGAAATTATTTATATTACTTCTTGGTGCGCTACATTATAAATAAGGACTCGAACTCTCTTTTCATCACTTAAATAATAGTTTCCAAAATTCTTTTGAATTTCAGTAGTCTCTCTGAGACGATGCAACATCTTCTGGGAGAAATAAATGGGAAATTTCCTTACTTTTCACACCGGTAAAGAAAGCAACTTCCACAAGGAAGCCTTAAAATCATTGAGGATCCACCAAATGCCATTCCCAGTCTATTACACATTCTATTTCCTCTCCAATTCCTCATTTCGAGTTAAAAGGCAGGCGACAGCTACTTGCCCATTATAGATTTCCCTCGATGGTCACCCAAACTGTGAACGGTTCTGCCCAGTCTGGACCTACCGTAACAATTTTTCCTTTGGGAAAAAGGAAGAGTAAAATGCATTTCGACAACCTGAAGATGATTTATGGTTTCTCCCAGGGCTTTAGAATTAATAGATTTTTCGCGCACTGAAAGAAAATCTCATTTGTCTTTTGGGAAGTAAAAGTGGATGGGAGGCAGAAATACCCCAAAATCGCATGTCGACGGGTTCCCATAACACGCATCATTTTTCTTTTATCACTTCTCCCCCCTCCCAGCTCCTTAGTTGGGAGGTGTTAAAATGAAAATGGTACGGTGTTGACATTATTACATCGTGGTAGGTGAAAGAGCAGTAGAATTTAAGCCTATAGTCACTAACCGCGACATATTTGGTAGAGTATGGTACACTTTATTTGTTAAACTTTTCTTTCTTATAAATGTGGATTCATTAATTTTATCTTTTTTGATAAAATATTAAAAATCAACTTTGCTAATACTTTCAAATACACAAATGGAATTTTGTATGAATGGGTGTTAAACTCGTCTCCATATTAAATTCTAAATGGTAATTCATGTTTTGAATTTTCACTTGGGGAAAAAAGTAAACACATTGTAGACAACTGTAGGAATATATATATATATATATATAATATTAAACTAATGAAGAAAATCATTATATATAAATCTAACTTAAAGTAAAATATTAAGCAGGAAAATGGTAAGATAGTATGGAACACACAGTAATATATTAAAAAATGTATAATGACACAATAACAGACATTATCAAACTCTTATGATTAGGTCTCAGATTGGAGTATTAAACGAA